TGCTTGCGAGCAGCTCGCGAGCCGCTCGATTCGTTTGCAGCCCTAACTATATATATACACACACAACAATTTTAGAATATTGTTAATTGCAAAAAGAAATAAAAATAATAATAATAAATAATTAGAAGCTTGTTTAAAAAACCTTGTCCAATGGACCTATGAAAGGAGTAATTGCATAAGTATGTGTGTCCATTGCACCAACCTCAACTACCCTCCAATCTTTATCATCATTTTTCAAATTATAGGACAAATACAATAAATATAATATATCATATATAACTATCATATCCATAATCTCATGCCACATTTGGCCTCCATTTAAATATGTATATAAATAATTCCTTTTATAGAAATTAAATAAGTTATTTATTTGAATAATATTTTCTAAGTGAATATTATTATAATATTTTTTTTAAAAAAAAAAAAATTATCCTAGAAGATAATTTGCATGTGTTTATATTTATATAGTTTAGGTATAGTGTCATTTTCATCCACCTATAATTCACGGCCTTAATTTATAACAATAACAAAAAAGACAATTACTTTATTTGTGTCTCTGTCCACCTCCAATCTCCTTTCTTGCTTTGCTTCTTCACAGATAAAAGTTATTTTTATTTTTATTTTATTTATTTATTTACGTGTAAAAAAAATTAGCAAATCATTAATCATCAATTGCCCCAAATATATGTTTCTGTGTGAAGCATAAAATTCTAATGATCACAAACACGTAACGTGTGTTTTTAATTTTAGATATATAATTTTTAAGGAGATTCATATTACTCCTTATTATTGGTCACTAATTTGGTCCATTTACAAATTTTAAATATATAGTACTCCCTCCTATTCATAATAAGTGTCGTTTTGAAAAGTTGCACACTTATTAATAATATTTTTTTGTCAATAATAACCCTCATTAATGAGGATAGAAATGAATGCTTTGAGAAAAGATGAAGAGCGAATATGAAAAGACGTAGTGTATTTATTAGCTAAATGAGAGTAATAATGGAAAAATATGTACCAAATATCTAAAACGATATTTATTTTGTTAATAGTTGATAATGTCAAAATGACATTTAAAAAGAATAGGAGGTAGTACTTTTTTTTCTTACAAAAAAAAAAAAAAA